AGCGAAGTCAAGGGATTCTTTTGGAGAAGGAAGAGTTAAAATAAAAAGGGAGGCAAGAATCCCTCGAAACAACAACAAAACAGCTGCGCCTTGGACGCAACTGTGGCACATGGTGGTGCATCGCCAACAATGCGTATGGAAATGCATACTCTGCTCGACAAATAGAAGTGTTGCTGCCAAACACCGAGGTTTTCCCAGAGTCGTATAAAGTGAAGAAATGCTTCTGCGGGCTGCGAGATGACCTCCCTGCTTGGTGCCGGAGGGCACGGGGATGAAAGTGTGTCCTGGGTCCCCTGTGCACGCCGTCCCCGACCTCCTGCACGTGGGAATCTGGTAACTGCCTGCCTGCCTGCCCACCGACCCTCCGGGCTCTCTCTAAACACATTCCTGCTTTGCCCATCTCGGCTCACTGTGAGTTCGAGAAGGTAGTCTTGACCTTCAAAGCAAAAAGCTTAAGGAATTTAGTTGTAATTTTTATAAGCTAAGAAAACATAGTTGGGCCTTTAAAATACTTCAGCTTCAATATTTTAAATCCAGCTATAGTCCAATAGATTATAGGATTTTATTTTTAGTGCCTTTATAGCTTATGGAGTCACGGGGCAAAACCAAAACAAAACAAAACAGTTTTCATCCTTTTAGACCAACTTTTCTTTTCTCCTGGGCTGTTTTTCTCCCAATGAAGTGAAGGCGCGTTAATTCAGCGGCTCTGGGAGAAGCTGTCAAGGTGATGCCCTGTCACTCTGCTCCTGCGTCTTTGAGACCCGGACAGAGGGACAAAAGCCGAGCACATGGGGACTAAACCCCAGCAGAGCCTGCGTTTGGCTTGGAATTGAAGGCGGTCACGGAGCTGCTGTCACACCGAGAGCTGTGCACGGGCAGCGACCCCAGAAGAGTGTTTTCTGTTTGTGGTGTGCTGTTCAGTCCCTGTATAGGGAAGTCGTGCAGGTCACCTGTGTGGCCTTGCTAAGGGGCAGTGACGGTCACTAACTGCTATCTGTTTTATTGCCTGTTGAGTTACAGTCTCCATCAGCTGTGTGGCTCAGTGCTCTTCCAGGCTGTGAACCATGTGACACCCTTGTGAGGGGTCAGTGCAGTCGGGACTGACCGCCTCGCACGTCCGCCAGGTTGGAGCCAGCAGCTGCGTCCGGCCACCCAGCAAGGGCCGACACGGTAGCAAGTGGGCTGACGAGTGCGGGTTAGACTTCCAAAGAGTTCGCTTTTTGTTTTTCCAAAGGAAAGTTAGTGTGTGGGTTTCCCATGGAAGAGAAGTGTATTGAGTGTCTCTTGGATCCTACTAGCGCCCTGTGCATTGCAGAAACTAGTACTGAGTGAAGGAGAAGGTGACAATGATGCGTTAAGATGCCATGGTCACAGGGACAAGAAGGTCCAGAAGTCCTTAGGTGTCCTTTGCACCGAGAGGGCGTGGTCTCTCTTCCAGGAGACCGGGGACGTGTTCTTAGAGGAGGTGGCTTTGGCATGGGTATGAATGGTAGGTAGAGTTCATTGTTAGAGATGGAACAGAAAGAAGAGAGGGACATTTCAACAAATAAAGTGAAAGTGTGGAGGATGTATGTATATATTTGGTGAATCACCAACTAATTTAGAAGCGTGGGAACATGTATAGCATCAGCAGAAAGTTTAATTGCTTGAGACCAGACTGGGGAAGGCTTGGATGACGAGCTAAGGGATGCGTACGGTGTAGGTGGCAGTCGCTGGGGACCTATGGGGGATATCGGAAAGAGTGACACGAGCCAAGTTTGAGGGGAAATTCTAATTTTGTCTGATTATAATAGTTAAGGCGAAGATTGGAAAGATAGAACCTTGGAGGCGTGAAGACTCATTTGCAAGGGTCTGGTGGTGGCATCTGAGAATTCTTAGTGGGAGTGAGTTCTGGGAAGGATGCAGGAGCGGGAGGGAGCGGAGGAAGTCAGGATGGGGCTCAGTGTCTTGTACACACGATTGTCGCAGAAGAAAGAGAAGTCAGGTTCTCTAGAAACGCACGAGGAACAACTCCCAAAGGTCGGAAGTAATGGAAAGTAGGAGTCAGAGTTTGGGGTGCCAATGGATGTTCCTGGCGGGTAGTTGGCAATGATGGGTGGGCACTCAGGAAAGTCACTGGGGCTGGGAGGCAGAATTAAGGGTGCCAGGATTGGGTGACAATTCATCAGATAGCTGGAGTTGGAATGAGGAGTGTCAGGATTTTAGAAGAATAGTTAGGAAGTGGGACGTAATAACAGGAACATCACAGAGGAAAATGCTGCACAACCTTGTCATAAAGTAGACCTGGAGGTGGCAGAAATAAAGGTGATGATGGTCCTGGGCGGCAGTGGAGTCACAGCAAAAGGGAGGAGTCATGGCGGCTGTGGGGGAACGTTGGGGCACGCCGATTTGGGGGTAGACTGGTGGGCAGGGAGTGGTGAGGGTGATGAGTTTGGTTTGTATGTTTAAACAAGATGCCTGAAGAAGAGTTAAATGCTATATTTACTAAGCTGTCAAAATATTTGCAAGAGAGCGTTTGGGATCAGAATAGACTCAGGGCAGTTAAAGAGAATGAGGAACTGACCGAGTCGGTAAAAGCAGAAGATGCAAGAGCAGAACAGGGAGCTCGGAAGCTAGAAGTACAAGAGAAGCCGTGAAGGATCTCTTGGATTTTGTTGAAGGACTGTTGGTTATCACTATAGGAAGATGAAGGACATGTAGCAGGAGCTCTGGAAAGAGTGTCAGAAAGGAAGTAGTAGTGATAGTGTCAAGTGAGATGGGTGAAGGAGGATGAGACCCGGGAAAGCCGTCGCATTAGCCTCGGGTGCTGGGGGCTAGCGTTTCGTCGGAACAGGCAGAAGGTTGGAGGGGCAGTGGTAGGACCTGGGCCGCGGGAGCAGCCTCGTCCTTTCGTGTCATCCTTTCAGCAGCCGAGGCTGCACTGCACGGGCACGATGTTGGATTAACTGCGATTCCTCTTCCTCCGTGGTTTGAGTTTTTCTTGAACCTTTCTCTGTGGCGTCGTCAAGCTTTGGGCCTCACGGTCTTGACTCCTTTCAGAGACCCATCTTCAGAGTGTCCTGGATGTAGTGGTTCTACAAGTCCACAGACTTCTGTCTTTTCAAACCTGATTCCGAATCTATGAATCAGACTTGAATTCAAGAAGTTCCCCTAAGAGACCTGAACTAGGAGGTCCGATTCTGGGAGGTGTTATTTTGGGAGCCTTTTCCTACCTCAATAGCAATACTTTCTTGACCCGATCTATTGTTTTGATGTCCTTTAAGGCTGAGGTCCAGCCCTGATAGTTATGTTTCAGTTTCAAGGGTGCAAGAAGTAAGATTGGGGGCCTCAGAGACCGATAGGTCCTCACAATATACTGATAACCTAGAGAGGTCCCTGGCAGCTGAACGGGCAAAATCCTTGTCTTGTGAGGAAGGTTTTGTTCCTAAAGTTTTCTCATTTGGTTTGCCCCTTCACCCACAGCTTAAAGCCTTAAACAACAGACAAGTGTTTGCAGAGGCCTCGGACTTCTGTGACATGTAACTGCGTGGTACAACCCAGTCCCCATTTCTAATCTCTTTCTGACGGAGACCAACTCAGGGTGGCAAGAAAACCCCACCATCTTTCCACTCCCCAATTCTCGGGTCCGCTTCCCATCCCGTGTTCATAGCTGTCGGCAGACATTGCTTTGCACACTCAGCCGTAGAGGCTAGACCTCCAGCGGGAGGAAGTCGTTGCGGAGCTTTGAGAGGGACGGGAGGGCCTTAGCAAGGGCTGCAGTTCTGAATTCCCCAGGAGCGCAGCTGTGACAGCTTTGTGTCCGTCTGAGGACAGAGCGGCAAGAGGAAAGTGAGGCTCTTCTCGTGACGTGGGAGGCAAGGAAGCCAGAGCCTCAACCCTTCCTTGTGTCTTTTGCCCTTTGTATGAATTCTCATTGAGTTGAATTGAATTGTTATAGCAGCCTCAGAGTGCGTAGGTCCTGTGCCCATTTTACAGACAAACTAGTTGAGGTTCAGCAAATGCAGAACATGGTAGGTCCCTCTGCAAACAAGTTGACAAGCCAGGATTGGACCCGGTCCTGCCTGGAACTCAGACGGCCCTTCCCCATACTGCTTCGCATACTTAAACGCAGACAGTCTATCCTGGTGCAGCTGAAAATCCTGGACCGCCTGCATATTTCTTTGATTTGTCTTCCCCACTTTTCTTCTTGGGTCATTCTTTTGGTTGGCGCATTGCTGTCCACCCCAGGAGACAGAGAGGGTCTGTTTGGCTCTAAAGCAAGAGGGTCAGTGCCGACGTCGCCGGGCGAGCTGTGGGCGTCTGTCCACCACATTCCTGCCGTCCGGAGGCGGGCGGAGCACAGCTGTGGCTGTGAGGCAGGAGCGCAGCTGTAGCCGGCCGCCGGCTGACAGCGGGGCACATGCCGTCCTGGGCACATGCTGTCCTGGTCCCAGTACGTGAGCGTGCCCCGCTCCAGCTGCTGCGTGACTGGCATTTGTCGAGGCTGAGGCTATGGAAAGAATTCTTTGCACTCTGGAGGGAAAGTTTCAGAGCACCTCGTAGGGCATTTGCCCCGAGCTCTCACGCAGCTATCCCGAGCCCACGCTTGCCTGCACGCGGCCCGGCTGCCGCCTGCCCGCCCCGCGCGCCCCCAAGGAATCCCACTTGTCGCTGGGCCCCGGCCGCTTTCATGGCCGCGGGCATCTGTGATCGAAGCCGTGACTCCATCCCGATTTCAGTGCGGCTGACTTACAAATGGTGTATATTTTGTTCAACTAATAATATTAAGCGTAGAAAAAAGTGCTGCCGGGGTAATAAATCATCAATGTATTCGGTGGCGACGGCTGGTAGAAGATCGCCTCGAGAAAAACAACAGACGCATTGAGAACAGCTAAGAATAGCACATGGAAAGTCTCCTTGCTTAGACATCTTTTCTACCGGCCTTCTTCTCCTTTTTTTAAAAAAATTTGAAATGATGAAACGAAACTAACCGTGTTTCCTTTTTTTTGCCATTTTTGCAGAAAAAACCGCTGTCTGCAATAATAAAGGAAGTCTGTGACGGGTGAGTGCTGTCGCCCGGGATGCCTCGGAGGTGTTCACGGTTCCCAACTTGAGAGCCAACCGAAGTGTCCCCGTGCAGCTGTCGGGGCCCATTCCCAAGTCACCCCCCGGCCTGCCTCGAGACACCGGGACTTGCTGTTTCAGATGTGCATGCCCCTTTCCACACACACACACACACACACACACACACACACAATATTGGTGCCCTCAAAGAGGAGCAAGTGTGAACTGGCAGGTGTGTGCACCCCGGGATGGGCTTTATGTATTTTGAGGAAAAGGGGTGTTCATTCGCCCTTCTCAGCAGGGAACTGGCTAAAGTTCCCGAGGTCAAATGCTCACTGCGTTTGGCATGAACTGGGAGGACCACTCTGGTCCCCATCGAAGATGAAATAATTTAAAGGACAAGTCAGCGAGTCCCTCTCCTGCCCCACGAACATCACAGCAGGGATGGCTCCCCCACTTGGCCTTGCCCACACAGGTGGAAGTGGCATTTTTTTTTTTAATTTTAAAGCAGAATTGTGACTAGAGGATTACTTGGAATTTAAGACCTGGGGGACTTGACGAGAATGTTCCGGCATGCAGCAAGCCTAGTGCTTGCGGATTGGAGAATGCGGAGATAATGGAAATGTAACAACTGTGGAAAATTTAAATGTACTCATCGCCTTGGTTTTCCCTCTCTACTCCACTCCTTCAAAATAGGGAGGAATGTAACTTTCTGTTCAAACACCACCCCTGCCCCAAAGCTGTGAAGATGAAATGCTTTCAGGCGAGCAATAGGCTCAGAATAAGACCTAGAAGACTGAAATCATGATCTCAGGGTGAAAGGCGGGCTGATATTTTGATTTTGAAACTACATCGTGGGGTTTGTGGAGTCCTGGCCCAGTTCTGAACACGGCATGCTTTGCTCATCCAATCCGATCAAGCCGTGAAAAAGGGAATGACCCTTTCCCGCTTTTCTGACCCGTCTCTGCTTCTGTTCCAAGGTGGTCCCTGGCCAACCACGAGTACTACGCCCTGCAGCATGCTGACAGTTCCAACTTCTACATCACGGAGAAGGTAGGCCACCCCCGTGACTTCGTCCGGGGCCCTTGCCCTTCAGGATGTTAAAATGCTGACTGATGTGCCATCGGTCCAGGACTTCTGTCACATGCTGGCCTAAGTTTTGCATTGTCCCTCCATGGAATCGGAGTCTGCAAACGAAGACCTGTGGCTTCTGTAGCAACCAGGAGGCACTTAGCCTCCCCAAGAGTGAGGACCAGACACGTGTCTGGGTCCTCTTTTAGCAGCTGCGCTTGCCTTCGAACAGCGGACTTTCTAATCATCTCTCTTACTGCTAATCTCTTACTGCTCGGTCAAAGCTTTCCTGTGATACTTAATGACAGTCCAGTTTCCTTTTTCAGACATTACTCCCCGCCCCCTAAAGAGCAATGTCTGAGTCCTCTTAAAGTAGTTGAAACAATGACAAGTAATCTCTTCAAAGGTGGCATTGGGCAGGCACTGAGCGTTCTGTGGTTTTGTGGGGCCCTGCTTTCTTCTTGGGTGACTTTTCTGGGAAGCTTGGAGGAGAAGGGGGAAGAACTCTCCCACAGTTGGGGAGGCTGTGGGGACCCTGGCAGCAAAGGGGGATCAATGTCTTAGAGCTCCCTGATCAGAGAAGGGAAAGCAAACATTCATGCAGAACCTCCCAGATGCCAGAAAGTGGACCGCCAGGCCCTTTAACATCTGTTGGTTGGTTCCTTTCCGAGACGAACCTGTGATAGAAACAATGTTGACTTGGGGGTGACAGATAAGAAGCTGAATCCTAAGGGTCCAGTGGCTTGGTCAGAACCACAGGGGCAGTGAATGGGAGGGTCAAGAAGCTAGTCCAGATCTCTGGGCTTTGTCACTGTTCCTTTGGGGGGTTTCTAGAGGAGTTTGGTGTTCAGCTCGGTTTTATGGAGCAGCCACCGCAATGCAAAGGGGCCGGTCCTGGCCTCACGCAGCTTGCAACCTGGCAGGATTGGCTGGGGGGACAGGCAGCCCTGTGAACAGTTTCCACCCCAAGGAGGGGGTCGGTGCGGGGACAGAGGTAAATACAGAATGCCCTGGGGGGAGGGAGCGTGAGACAGCCGCAGGCCCCTGGCTGTGTTGCTCCCAAGTTTGTCCTGGAATCAGGTGGTGGTGGAAGGTGGGCGCAGGAACAGGGGTCTTGTGCCTACCATGACTGCTTGCTCTGCCTTGAGGAGTATGGTTGTGGGGGTAGGGGACCTTCAGTCTAGTCCACAGGGAGGATAGCCACAGCCTAGACATGCTTCCAGAAATTGCTCGGTTCTTCCCCACTGGACACTGCCATTTTCATGACCCATCGTGTCTTTCCCGTCACCCAGAGATCCGGCATGCTAGAGTTAACCAGAGGACCAGGTCTCCTGGCCCAGTTGTTCATTTCACTTGTTTGTTTTTTTTGTTTTTTGTTTTTTAATTCATTCCACACTTAGTTTTCTGTCCTTATTGTCTCCTTGCATCATTTTCTTCATACTTTATTTTATCCTATCTTTATATGATCTGCATGCTGGCGTTTGTAAGACTGAAGAGGAAGTAAAGTTCAATGGTAGCAGTTGAATGTATTGCTGTCGATGTCCTGAAGCAGAAGACTGTCTCATTTCAACTCGGTTCACCTTTTAAAGGCAACTAAAGTAGTGTGGCTTCTGGGGTATTACTGGGAAAGATTGGATGGTTTTCTACTATTTGAGTGATAACATGAAGAAGTGTAAAAATTATTAAGTGATAAAATTATGGGACAGTAGAAGCTATAATAGGGGTTTTCAGGCATCGCCAATCAGTGGGTAGTGAAATCCACTTAGTAAGTTGTAAGGGTATTAAAAATCGGGATATAATAAATAGAGTAAGCGTGTATCACCTGTGTAGTTTGTGAAATACTTGTGTTATACGTGCATATGTAATACATGTGTTTGTGCAGGATTTGTACCCTGGGTAGAAGTGCAGAAGACACAGAGTCACCAACAGCGCTGCCCGTGATTAACCTCTACAGGCTTGGGTCCCCTGGTGGCTGCCCTGTCTTCGGCCGCCATTGTCAGGAGATTCCTCGTGACGGGATTCTCGGACTAGAGCCCAAGCAAGCAGCGCAGAGAGAACCTTTCAAAAATACAGATTTTTAGACCTGGGCCCCGGTGACTCAGCTTGTGCAGCCCTGGAGATGGCCTGGGATTGTGCATTTGGAGGGCCCTCCTGGAGTTTGGAGCAGGGCACCCAGGGGCCCCCTGGAGGACCACGGCTCTGGGGCCGCTGTTCTGAAGGGACGGGCTCCGTGTGCGGCAGGCACCGTGCGCACCGCGCAGCGTTAGGCTCTGAGATCGACTTAGGAGTGTGCGTAGCTGATTCTTGGAATCATTAAAAAATTCGTACGATATTTATGCTTTTGTTCTCAGGAAAATTAAAAGAGACTCAGAAAGTTGAAACTACTTAGAACAGTGGGAACACGATTATTTTATTGGGCATCCTCGTCATTTTCTGGGAACTCTTGTTTTGCCTGAGGACGTTCTTCAGGTTGAGTTTAAAAGGGACCCCCCCACCCCCCTGCCGAGCCTGCCCTCCGTTCTGTCCCACCTCAGTGGGCAGGAGCAGGGATCATTCTCGTATCAGGAGCTGGGGCAGTGAGGGGACTCGTCTTCCTGATCAGAGCCCTTTCTTCCTAAATACGGCATCATGCCTCTTCCTTCCGTGGCTGCGTGTGTGGACGACCCAGGACTCAGTATGCGCAGGGTGGGAGAGGGACCTCGAACCCGGGGTCCGCAGCAGCCCACCTGGGCTGCCTTCAGTCTGCCGTGAGGTCCGTCTAGCTCCTTGCAAGTATTCCTAGAATTAGAGGCCATTTTCCCTGTTTAAAGTAATGTATTTAGCATCATCTGGGTTACAGCCCAGAGGGTTGTTAGGTAATATTTGCATCACCATAGTAACTGGTGACTAATTTTTGAAACCTGTGCATGTTCTTAGTTCCTGATTCTCCCTTGCGTACGAGGTGGTCCCCCTGCCTCGGCCAGAGAGAAAATAGGACCTGTCATTGCAGAGAGGGAAAACGCTCCAGGCCGGGCGAGCGAACGCAGTTTGGTGACTGATGGACGGACCCTGGAGTTTCTCGGGGAGGCACCTCCCGACGCCCCTCACGCTGTCCAGGCCCACTTTCTGTAACAGCCTTCGTTTGCTCACGGGGTCGTTAAGTTCGTATGTTCAGTGCGGCGGAGAGGACGTCGTGGGGCTGAGCAGTGCTATGCAGAATGGCTCAGAGAAAGTTAAGGGCCGACTGTTTGCAAGTTCCGGTTCTGCCCCAGAAACTGTTATATCGCAGGGTTACGTCTGAGAGAGGGGAGGAGAGAGAACGCAAAGTCACCGGTGCACTTTTTAGCGTTATCGAGGTGTACCTGACAGATATATAAAATTATGAGACATTAAGTGTACATCATGGTAGTTATATGTATGCGTCATTGTGAAAGGATTCTCCCATCTACTTAATGGACCCATCCGCCACCTCGCTTACTTGTTCACTCGGTGAGGACATCGGAGTTCCACTTTCTCAGCGGATTCCAGCTATAGCATACACTGGTACTGACCGTAATCCCCGTGTTGTACATTAGGTCCTCAGTCCTCATCCACCTGGGAGCTGAAGTCCGTGCCGTTTTCCCCAGCCCCTGTCTCCTTGCCCCAGACCCTCGGTCCCTGGAAACCACTTTTCTGCTCTCCGTTTCTGTGTCTGACTTCTTCTTCCAGATTCTGCACAGAAGTGATACGATGTTGTATCCATCTTTCTCATCTCACTTGGTATAACGCCCTCCGGGCTCCTCCGTGTGGTTGCAAACGGCAGGATGTCCTTCTTTCTCTCGGCTGAGTTGTACTCCATGGTGAATCCTCAGACCACGTGTTCTTACTCGCTCATGTACTGACAGACACGTGGCCATTGTAAATGCTGCAGTGAGCATGGCAGTGCATGTGTCTCTTTGATAACCTGTTTTTATTTCCTTTGCCTATGTACCCAGAAAGCGGGATTTCTGCATTATTATACTAGTTCTGTTTATAATTTTATGAAGAACTTTCATACTGTTTTCCATCGTGGCTGCACCCATTTGCATTTCCGTCAATCAGTATATGAGTATGAGAATTCTCTTTTTTTTTAATTTGTTTTTAAAAGATTTTATTTATTTATTTTTAGAGAGGGAAGGGAGGGAGAAAGAGTGAGAGAGAGAAACATCAATGTTTGGTTGCTGGGGGCCATGGCCTGCAACCCAGGCATGTGCCCTGACTGGGAATCGAACCTGCAATGCTTTGGTTCACAGCCCGAGCTCAATCCACTGAGCTACGCCAGCCAGGGCGAGAATTCTCTTCTTTTCTACATCCTTGCCACGCCAACCCTTACTCCACCCTCCCTGCTTTTTCTGGTAATAGCCATTCTCACTGGTGTGAGATGGACTCTCATTGTGGATTTAATCTGCATTTTCCTGAGTATTAACGATCTTGAACACCTTTTCATGTATTCATTGGCCAACTGTATGTCTTCATTGGAAAAATGTCTGTGTAGCTCTTCTGCCCATTTTTAAGTTGGAATGTTTGGTTTTTTGATATTGAATTGTGTGAGTTCTTTCTATATGTTGAATGTTAACCCCTTATCAGATGGATGGTTTGTAAATACCGTCTCCCATTTCATCGCTTGCTTTTTCATTCTGTCAGTGTTCTCCTCTGCTGTGCAGAAGGTTTTCACTTTGATGAGGTCTTACTTGTTTATTTGTGTGAATTCTGTGTACACTTTAAATATTCCAGTGGAATGTGCCTTCTGAACAGGAATGATATGCATTCCAGTTCTCTATCTTCATTCCAGTCTCCTGATGCTGGTATCATTATCTCCATTTTACCATGAGGAACAGGAGACCCAGAGCCATGAGGCAACTGTTCAGGCCGTTCGGCGGGGCAGTGGTCAGGCCGGGGCGTGGACCCAGGTGGGTCCGCTTCCAGTGCCGTCTGTGCCACCACCTAGCAGCCCTCCCGCCCGCTGCCCGGGCCCTGATGGATGT